CGCTGGGTATAATGGTCCTCCCACGCAATGGAAGGGCTGCCTCACAATTTGGTTGCGAGCACATCGCACCACAACTCCTGACGAGTAGTCGTCAATGAGAGTGTGCGTGTTGCTATCTACAACCAGCAAGAGACGCGGGATCTGTCATCATACTCGGGAATGTCCGAGGTGTGCACAGGAGGGTGTCCGTTGTACTGATGGCGGGGCGGAGAGAGACCAAGGCGCTTGCAATACCACGACGAAAGTCGGGGCCGCTGCAAGGGCAAAGGTGGGGGAAGGCTGTGGACTGTGGCCATTGGCAGATGGACCAGCCGATGTGGAGGCGAGGACCGTGGGCAGTTGTCTGATGACCGCGGGCAATTGTCCTAGAATGGCTAGGTAGGAGGGGAGAAGCCGAAAAGCAGGTCGAGGGAAACGAGTCTGCATCATGGGGGCCGAAAGGGTGGTAGAGGAAGAAGAAGGGTGAGCAGCCTAGGAAGGGTGAGGCTGTCTTAGGGGAAGGATCCCCACCTGCGCCTGCGCAATGGTGGCCTGTAAAGTAACCACTCGCTGGGTGCACGGGGTCGGGGGTGGAGGAGGCGGAGGGAGTATCCCACTGAGAGGAGGAATCCCAGATTGCGGGGTACCCTGCTGTGGGGGTAAGCGGACAAAGGCGAGGACTAGTGGAAGAAACCGTAATGCCGTGACCGGTGCGAGGAGCTGGGAAGCAGCACCGGAATGGGTCGATGAAACTGTCGGGCCAGATGATGGTATATGGGCCGTAGTACCTACGACGGTGGCAGAGACGGTACGGGCGGCAGGGGCCGGGAGAACTACCGCAACAAACGGGGTGGTCTGACCGGCAGCAACACTCACCATTACTGAGGGGGAGTGTTGGGCCTGAGCCGCTGGGGAGGGAGAACCACCACGTTTGTTTCGCCGAAGTCGTGGGGAACTGGACGGTGAACCAGTAGGGGATGGGGTCTGAGAATGGAGGGGGGAGCGATGGGGAGAGCACTTGAGGTGGTTGACGTCAAGGGCAAGCGCATTGATTTGCTCTTGCAGCGGTCCAAGCGTACTGAGTTGCGCTTGGATGGCCACAGGACGACATGAAAGTCCATGGTGTCCACGTGGGCCTGACTCTGGGCCGCTGCCTGAACGCTCACCCGGGAGGTGGACAGTGTCGCGACGATCTCCTCAGATGAACTCCCTTCCATGGCTGGAAGGGGAAGGGAGGTAGGTGTGTGGGAAAAGGGGCCCACCGGTAAGAGGAAGGGGACCGCGGGAGCAGGGTGAGTATGTGTGAGTCAGCTCGCCCCAGATTTTGCAGGTCGTGCGTGAGACAAAAGCGCCAAACTACTTGAAGGGGAAGGGTCAAACCCTTGAGGGACTATCGATTTTCAAGAGTTGTCAGGCCGTTATCCTGACGCCATGCGAAAAAAACAAAGCGGAATGACTGTCGTTTTTCATCCTGTGTCCAACGGCATCGCCCTTTGGAGAGTGCTGTGTGGCGAGGGGCCGAAAACTCTTGAAAACAACTCTTGAGAATTTCTGACAGCTCTTGACAAATCTCGCCGTTTCAAGTGTGGTGTGGTGAGGAGGCCCTATTTCATCTTTTTCTTGGTAGTACGCATCTATCTCATCCTCTCACTAGTCCATTTATAGTACAGGGGAACACCAACCAACCGGGATCTCTCCCCAGCCCATGGGGTAGGTTTCCACCACAGCTGTGGTGCGAGTACAAGGCTGTACCAGTCCCTCATCACGGTGAGGGGGGGTGGGCAGGCATTGCCGATGGGGGAAAATCGGCGGTGCTAACGCCGAGCAATGGCCAGTCATCCGGGTCCAGGTTGCCCAAAGGGAGGAGCTAGAAAATTTCGACAGCACTTCATTACCCCCACGGGGTCAAAATGTGGAGAAAATTTCGGCAGCACTTCGTTACCCCCACGGGGTCAAAATGTGCGCCGATAGCTGANAGAAAATTTCGGCAGCACTTCGTTACCCCCACGGGGTCAAAATGTGCGCCGATAGCTGAAATAGCTAAGTCCTAACAGATATAGAGGTGCAACAGAAAATTTGAATTTTCAGAATGAATCATGGCAGCGATCCGGACCTCCGGACAGGGATCCAGACCGTCCGGTGTCCGGATCCCGGTCCGGATTCCAGACCCTTTTGCCAACGGCCAAATTTTTTTTTGGCTGTCCAGGGCGTTTCGTATCGCCCAGGGCCGCCAGCCAAAAATACGAGCAGATTTGTTTTTGGCCCTGAAGGGGCATCCAGAATTTTTCTTTTTGCCTGTGGGAAGTTTTCTTCCTTCTATGTTTCTGCCCATTTGAATGTCAGCCTTGCATCGTGGCGGCTTCGTAGTGGGCACAGTCTTTGAATTCATCCTCCCGCCTTGTGAGTTTGGCCGCCCCCGCTCCCACAACAACGTTCGAGCTTGCATGCCCGCCACTACCGCCATTGTCAGAGGGAGGAAGAAACAGGGCAACGAGGCGGCCATAGCAGGCAAGAAGCAGACGCGGAGCAGGCGCAGGAGGGCTGGCAGTGGGTGCAGCGAAGGCCGCGCGAGGAGCCCAGCAAGGAGCAGTGCAAGCAGCTCTCTCTCTCTCTCTCTCTCTCTCTCTCTCTCTCTCTCTCTCTTCGTTTTGTTTTCATGGTCTGCCTCCTTTCTGCTCCTCCATCCCCCTCCTCCTTCTCCATGTCTGCGTCCTCCTCCCGCTCCTCCTCCTCCTCGTCTTGGTCATCGTCATGTACTTGCTATAACCTCCCCTGCTCCCTTCCCTGCTCATGCCACGTGGCACCCTTTTTCCTTTTTTTTCGGATCTTTGTCGTCATGTTCCTCGTCTGCATCCTCCTCCCGCTCCTCCCCGTTCATGTCTTTGCCCTCCTTCTGCTGCTCCTCCACGTCTTTGCCCTCCTCCCCCTCATCTTGGTTGTTGACATGTACTCGCTATAACCTCCCCTCCCCCCCCCTAACTGTGCCACATGGCCTTTTCGTT